AATGTTATTTTACCACAGTTTAAAAATTTTTAAATAGTGAAACAAAGATATTGTAAAAGGCAATGATAGAAAAATAGGTATAATGTGAAGTTCTTCCATTATATATTTTAGAGAAAGGATATATACATATGCAATGCTTTATGTACACAGAATATCTCTGAAAAGATATTCAAGAAACTGACATAGTGATTACTTCTGGGAATGGGGTTGTAGAGAACTAGGAAGTAGGGGACAGGGATGAGGAGAAAAATTAAATACTTTTTGACACCTTCTGAATCTTATTTACCATGTGCATATATTACATATTGAAATAATGTTTCTTACCAAGCTCATAGACACAGAGACAGATTAATGGTTGTCCGGGGTTAGGGATGGGCAAAATGGGTGAAAGGAGTCAAAAGGTACAAATTTGAGTTATAAAAAATGTAAGTTATCGGGATGTAATAATTTTAAAAAGAAATAATGGTTTTTTTAAAATGTATCATTTGGAGTTAGGGACTGCAAGAGAGAGTTTTCTCAGGTAGGTCATCCTTAGGCTATGAAATTGCTTTGTCAATCCAGTTACACTTAAGTGTCAGAATAAATAAGACCTACTTCTTGTCTTTGCCTTTAAAGGGTTAAAAGATCTTGGTCCCAATGTGGTGTTCAGGCTTTAGGGTACACGTGCATTTATTGTTTGAGGTCTGTCAGCACATTTCCAAAATCTCTTGTTTCTTTCAGAACAACTACAATGTACTCACTTGATTAGAACTTCCCAAAAAAGGTTGTAGACAGAAAGGATGGAGGAAAAAGGAGAGTCAAAAGAAATGCTACACTCAGTGTTTTCTGTTTCTTAAAAGCACATAACCTCAAACAATATAATAAAAGAGACTTAACAGTAATAACAGGTTTTGACTCTTGTGGGATTATTTCTTAAGACTTCCGCTTGCAAGTTGTTAGGTAACTGCACAAGTTAGATTTTAACACTTTTCAAAACATCCTTCTTAGTACATGAGTCCTTGCACCATATATTCCATATAAAGATTGCAATGTTTTATCACTGTAATTCTTGTTTAGAAGCTGTTCTTGGAACTTCTTGTTATACATGGATGTGTTTTCCTTACCAACAACCTTAGCCTATATTTTTCTCCAAACAATACTTGGCCAAAGTGGAATACTTGGCCACAGAGCCATATCCTTATATTTGTGGGTTTTGGATATCCATAAAAAGCAAAAACAAAACACTATTTTTGGAATCTTTTTAGTTATCTTTTCCTTTGGTTTGGTGTTTTACTGTAACTAATTCAGCACTCAGAAAAGTGCTTAGTACAGAGTGGGGGTACAATAAATGCTAATGAATGAGTCCCTGTGAGCTCAATACTCCAGGGTTATATAGGGAATACAAATTTGTCTTTATTTGGAAGTGAAAAACTCATAATTTTATAGAAGCAAAATTTTCCTAGATGGCAAACGTTTCTTTGAAAGAGAATTTAATCCAAGTGTGTAATTCTTTTACATGCAGGAAGGAGATTATTATTACTATAATAATATTTATTATTGTTGTTAGAAACAACAGTAGTAGCGGCAACATCATGCTAAGTGCTTTACTTTTTTTTTATTAGCAGCTACAAAAAGTCATGGGAACTAAGGGCTTTTCTTACATTATCATTCATACAGTCTTCCAACGACTTCATTGGATAGATGTTATTGTCGTGCCCATTTTCATAGATGAGGAAATTGAGCTCAGAGAGATTAGGTAATAGGTTCAAAATCCCATGGCTAGTAAGTGGCAGGGCCAGAAAATGAACTCAATTTAGTTTAGTTAAGATTTGGACTTGGTACTTCCAATGCAAGAATATGAGTTTAACTTAATTCTCTTCAAAATTTCTACTGCAGTGGCTGAAGGGACATGATAAAATAGAGGGAGGGAGTGTAGGAAAGAAGGGAGAGAAAGAAAAGGAAATTGATATCTGTACTACAAACTGGGTATGATCTCCATCAGCATGCTAGAACAAACATTGGAGGAGTTTCCATAATATAAAATTCAGACAAGACCATGTTGAGGTAAGGGTCCACCAACCTGAGAAGTACTGTACATATTCTTCGCTTACTAAAAATGTTTGAAACCAAAAATGACTGTTAATTTTTATCTGTTGACCATAAGACAAGTCAAGTAGGTGCTCCTTCACCAAAAGGGATTTTTTCAGGGGTAAAAGAAAGGATTGCATTCCTGTAGATGCAGACATGGCAAGTCCTGTGCACACACTCCATAAGAAGTGGGAAAAAACCCTTTACAAGGGGGAAAAGGAAGTTAAGGAGAGGGGCTGTTACAGCCATAGAGCTCTGTTGTAAACAGAGTTTTTTCTATAGGGTTTTCCTGAAGACATAGGGTTTGAGAGCTCCTCCCACAGGTCTTCCTGATTCTTGTCTAGGTAAAATCTTTGTCTTAAATTTTGACATATCAAATACCTTTTCGCATCTATTTAGATAATCTTATCGTTTTTCTCAAGAATATGCTGACTTAATAATATGCTAAATTATATTAATATAATTCCTAAATATTAATTCTTGGAATAAGCCCTTTATAGTCATAAGCAAAACAGTTTATTCTGCAGAACCCAGGAACAATTCAGGAACTGGAATTACCCAGGACCTCAGAAAGCATAGGAAAGACCTTTTAATTGAATTTCAATTAATAAGTATACAGTAAAGTCTTAAAATAACTGTAAGAATGCAAGTGTCATTACAGGACCTCTTTCTTGAAAGATCATTTTCAAAAAGCTAGTGTAAACATGAAATATTTATAAGACTGAAAACTTTAAAGTCTTAACTAGAGTAATTTGGATTAATTACCTTGTATTTTTCTCTTTTCAGTTTGTATATGCTGTGGCAGTGACATTTCACTTTTGATCTGCTTAATATTATCTGTTATCATCTTTTGTAATATAAGAATTTGGGAGAATTGAAAGCAGCTTTGGTTTCTACCTTATAATTCCTTCGAATATTTTATTTGTTATGTATTGAGCCTTTAGCTTTTATAATGTGACTTTTAGAAGTCTTCAAGTATTTTTTAGACTGACTAAAAATAAAAAGACAAATGAGTGTAAATTTTTCCCCCTCCAAAGTGCAAAGGAGTAAGGAATAAAAAGACTATGCATTTGCAGGATTTAGAAAGTGATTTTAAATGCTTGTTTTTTTTTTCTGAAAGAGGAAGAGGGGAGGGATAACGAAAGGTGAGACGTGGTTGTAAGAAGAAAAAACAAAGATAGGCAAAAGATCACAGTCGGGGAAAAAAGTGAGAAGGAAATAAACCATAGAAGGCAGTTCCCAGAAAAAGTAATTCTTTACTTTCTTTCATTTAAGTTTATTTGCACTATCAAACTCTTAACATCTATAGGCGTTCTGCAGGTTGAAACAGCCCCAGCTTTGAAAAATCAAAGGAGTCAACTAGCATAGCCATAGAATAGTTATAGATGATTCAGTTTTAGCCACTGGTAGTGAGTTTTTGTTTAACAGCTTATTGAGATATAAATGATACACACACAAAATGCACATGGTTAATGTATTTAATTTGATGAATTTGGACATATGCATACACCTGTGAAGCCATCACTATAATCAAGGTAACAACATATTTATCACCTCCAAAAGTTTCCTTGTGCCCTTTGGGGTTTTTTTGTTTATTTGTGGTAAGAATATTTAACACGAGATCTATCTTCTTAACAAATTTTTCATGTACAATAGAGTATTGTTAACAATAGGGACTAAGCTGTACAGCAGATCTTATTCATTTTGCATAACTGATACTTTATACCCATTAAACAACAACCCCCATTTCCTCCTCTCCCTCAACCCCTGCAACCACCATCCATTCTGCTACTATGAGTTTAATTATTTTGAATACCTTAAAGAATAGAATCATGCAGTATTTGTCCTGTGGCTGGCTTAATAATTTTACTTAGTATAATTTCCTCCAGGATCATCCATGTTCTCATATATGGCAGGATTTCCTTCTTTTTCTTTTTCTTTTTTTTTTTTAGGCTGAATAATATTTCATTGTATGCAGATACCACATTTTCTTTATTCATTTGTCTGTCAATGGGCATTTGGGTTGTTTCCATCTCTTGACACTTGTGAAAAATGCTGCAATGAATATGGGAGGGCAGGTATCTCTTTGAGATCCTGCTTTCAATGCTTTTGGATTTATACCCAGAAGTGGGATTACTAGATCATGTGGTAGTGAGAAATTTTGATGACATCAGCATATACATCTCCATGTAGGGATACCTGGGTTTCTAGCAGCTGTTTCCTAAACAGCAAGCATTTGAATAGAACTTATTGGGTCACAGTTGGATCTCTCTCTCTCTCTCTCTCTCTCTCTCTCTCTCTCTCTCTCTCTCCCCCCCCCCCCCCCCCCCGCGCCATTACCAGCTAATTGTTTCACTCTATTGTCCTGTTTTCCTTATCACTCTTCCAGATAGATTTTGAAAAAGAGATTGGAGAGTGGAAGGAAGGTTTTAAATTGTGTTTTTGGAATCTGTCAGAGAGACTTGAATGGGGCATGTCTTTTGGCTCGTCTTGTAAACACTTGCTAGCAGAGGGCTAATGAAACTAGTGGTTAGATCACCCCCCAATCATGTGCTATATTTTAAAGCCTGTGTCTAAACAGTCATATCACATATGTACCTTTGAATATGAAGATAAATGAACACAATCCTACCTATTCTGAGAAGAGTCCAAAGTACACACTATGAAGAGTCAGTAGCACCATTTTTACAGAACCTCCCATTGCCTATAAATTGGAAACCACAGAAATGCTTCAGCTAATCGAACATAATTAACTTTTCAATCACCTAAACCATCACCTGTTGGCTTTTTCTTTCCAAAATAGTGATTGCTAATCAGAATGGCAGCTTCTCACCTATGAGCTAACACTGAATCAGTGATTTCTGCTGGCTTTTCCCATCATGCTTTTTGCCCCATTCGTCTGGATCTCTGAAACAATCTTATTTGTATTACAGAGCTCTCAGTTGGAAGACAGTGAATCAGCAGCATTACTTTGCTGTGAATGTGAAGAATCAGAAATCTTTAGTGATTCCAATGTACGTAGGTATATGATTTTATACAGTCTTTGGTGATTGAGTGAAAGCTTTTTGGCTTTTAAATGCAACTGGGATAGTGCCTATTATTTCGTCTATTTGACCTGGGAAGGCAAATAAGTGACTTAGAATGAATGTATATGCAATAGTATGGCATATTTATATGCATAATAAGCTCCCCTCAAAGCATCTCTATAAAAAAATAGAAAAATTTTGTATCCTGGGAGCTTGAGTAAGCCTCCCTCAAAAGAGAATATGATTGTTTTTGCTGGGGGCGGGGGGGGGGGCCGGCAGGATTCTTTTTCTTTTCCTGGCGAGTAGTATCCTTTTCCCTGTGACAACTGCTTAGCATTGGCGCTGCCACTGTACCTTTATTCCCCCATGTACATAGACCTAATACGTCCTAGCTGTTGATAATCTTAAGCCAAATAGTATAATTACTTGGCTGGAGAATCAGCTAGATCATCTTAACTACATTTCATGAGATGTTATTAATTTTATTTATCTCATCTGACCCCCAGCAAAGTTGCCGAATTATTGCAACTTACCCATGGAATCAGGCTAAAGTTACAGAATGACTTAAATTTACTTTTTTAAACGTTAAATATATCTTCCATAAGAATAACTGCCTTTGCTAGCCATGGCTAACCTAGGTTCTACAAACCTCGATGAGAATCTTGTTTCTGTCAACTTCAAGATGTTTACTGCATAATAGGCACTCTATAAATTTTGTTGACATTTCACTAATGGAAGCTCTCTCTTCAAGTAAGCTGTGCCTCTCAATTATATATCACCACAGCTCCTTAACTGTCTTCTTTCCTTTACCTTCATGGCACAATGAAGGTGATCACTATTTTAGAATCTCATTTGACTATTATATTGATTTACCTGATTGCACTTCATTCAGCATTGATGAGAAGTCTGGAACGGCATGAAGTCATTATTGTGACTCACTAATAGCTGAAGTGGTGCTCATTTCTCTAGTTCTTGAAAACATTAACTGATGAATTCACATAAACACTCATTTATTGTCAACATTTGCAGATGACAGACTTAGGGTAGAAAGGTTATATTCTTTGTCTAGTGTGTGATAAGCAGGGGCAGCACTGACATCATATCTCAGCTGACAATCATTAGTGAGCTCATTATCAGCAGGCAGCATCATCATTGACAGAATATGTACCAGCTCCTTGTATAGTATTCTACAAGATTTATTTTGTTCAGTCTGCACTGCAGTCCTCTGGACTTGGATGGACTTATTGTTTTGACTGATTTTGTCTTAGAGAGACCAGCGAGTGAAAATCCACATGAAGAATATCTTTATGAAGTTGAACACATGTAGTGAAATGTGATTCTAATTTTAATGGTTTCCTCCTTAGAAATAATTAGTTGGGTATATGTATTTGCAGATTATCTGGATTGCTTTTTATTGCCAGAGCTTTCATTCATTTAAGTCAGATTTGTTTTGCTTTTTCTCTTCAAGAGGCAAAACTAGTTATTTATACTTGGCTGGTTTTTTAAAGGTATTAGATCCTCCTCCCATTTTGTTTCTTCAAGGAGTATTTCCCACACTTTTTTCTTGTCTCCCCATTCACACCCTCACATCAAAGGAGATTGAAGAGCTCCTTTCCAATTTGAAGACTTAAACTTGAAAAAGAAATTATTTGTAGAGCAAACAAATTGAAATCCCCATTTTGAATTTTATTCAAAGGAAGTGGTATGGCATCTGGACACCTATTTGAAATAGAAGTTAACCTGATGTAAAGGAGAGTAGAAGATAAAGTCAATCTCTGAAGAACTTTCTCTTTAATCTTGGGATAACAGAAATATGAAATTTGGTTAGCTATATTCACTCATTCACCAAGCATTGATTGACAGTCATGTACAAATCATTGGGCCCAGGACTATGGCGTTAGGCATAAAATATGGATTCTACTCTAAGAACAAACTTTCAGCAATAAAAAAATAATGTCTGATGATCTAATGTAAAACATGGTGACTATAGTTGATAAACTATCCTATATAATAAGGAAGTAATATGCAAATTGACCATCACACCCTTGCACAAGATGTCTGCCCCCATGTGGTCACAAGATGGCTGCCACAAGATAGCCAGCAGGGGAGGGCAGTTGTGGGTGATCAGGCCATCAGAGGAGGGCAATTAGGGGTGACCAGGCCTGCAGGGGAGGGCACTTGGGAGCAACCGGGCCTGCAAGGAAGGTTAGTTAGGAGCAACCAGGCCAGCAGGGGAGGGCAGTTGGGGGCAACCAGGCCAGCAGAGGAGGGCAGTTGGGGGTGATCGGGCCAGCAGGGGAGCCATTAGGTGTCAATCAGGCTGGCTGGGGAGTGGTTAGGGGGTGATCAGGCTGGCAGGCAGAAGTAGTTAGGGGCAATCAGGCAGGCAGGCAGGTGAGTGGTTAGG